AACCCAAACCCACACTCCCTCGCCCAGGTCGCGGGTCCTGGCTGTTCTGAGGACCTGAGCATACCGCTTCCAGGAATGTGAGTATGGGGCACCCCCACCTTTCTGGGCGCTTCGGTTGGCTTCGTTGGAGGAAAGCCAAATGCTCCCGGAAAGAACCCTTTAGGGTTCTGATCTACTCACTTAAGCCGAACTGGCCCCGGAAGACACTCCTTGGACGTTGGAAGGGGAGCAAAAAAACAAATTTTAGCAGTTAAGTGGTTGGATTTCAGCCACTAAGCCACAATAAGCAAAAAAGTAAAATGTTTCCCAACAACAACCATGTCAAGGTCATCACCTTTGAAGCCATGAGGAAACCTGGTTTCCGAACCAGGGAAACCAACAGGTCGATTGTTCCGGTCGCTTCGCTTTAGGCCGCCCTTAACGGGGGATGGCGCAAACGTTCCCGGGCAGTTCCCGGGCAGTTCCCGGGCAGTTCCGGGCAGTGCTTTTGCTTGCTGTTTTGTAACTGCCTGAAACTCAGTTGCCCAAAGGACCTGGAACAAAAAGGTTAACCTTTTGGGGCCATGACTAAAACTAGACCAAAACGGGAAAGCCAAAAGGTCAGATTCGGTCGATGCGCTTTGAACAACTGCCTGAAATCCAATCCCGTCACGGCGACCCCGAAAAGGGCTCTCTGACTCTGCCCTTTCGTTTCCCGAAGCCACTCCAAAAGGGAGGGCTAAGTACACTCGATCCCAAAGAACAGGGCTCCCTATATTTCCCCTTAAAACATCATCCCAACCAAGGGATACTCACCTTTCATGGGCGAAAAAGGTGATGTTTCAAACCACCAAGAAAGGGAAATATAGGGCCGAGTGAAGAAAGAGAAACACCCACGGAGCTTTTCAGAGGACATCTCCGGACACCACGTGGTTTGGGAGCATCGGTGGCTAGGCAAGCCAAAGGGAGCCGGATCTTTGCGACTTGATGTGATATAATGTTGACCCCCTATTAATCAAGCCTAGTTTATTATTAGGGGGATGTTTTCCCCTCCAAAAGCGAACCATCCCCACTAAAACCAGGGACACACCCATATTAATCAACAGGGGTTTATTAATAGGGGGTGTTCATTATGATTTTCATCAATCGGAATCGTCAACACCGGCGAGTTGGTCAACGAACCCTGTTTGGGCCCAGAAATGCAAGGAGATCACCTTCGGCCATGACTAAACATAGACCAACATAGAGTATCAAAAAGTCAAAAGGTCGATTCGCTTTGGGGCACAGTTATTTAAACAATTAATCTGCGGCCCCTTTCAGAAGGAAAACCATACATTTGCTCTAGGGCTCCCTGAACAAACACACCTAGTGAAATCGATTCCCTTTAAAGCCAACAAGGGAACATAGCAATACATTCTCAGGCCAATGGAAGAAAAAACTCGCGGTCCAGAACTCTCCAACATGCCTGTTGGGTGGTCCCAGGGTTGAAGAAGTGCTGAAAAGGCATGGAAGGGAGAGATCTTGGAATCCAAGGGCTTCTCCCCATTCAACACACTAAGCACGCACTGGGAAGCGCGCGAGCGCCTTGTGGACCTTTTGGGGCCGAGTCAAAAGGGAAAAGCGAGGTTGGGGCTGGAAAAACAATTGGTGGCTCATCTGATTTGTCTTTCTTCAGGGGACCCTCCACAACTCTGCGCGAATTATACAGTTTCACCAACCTGAAATAAGGTGGTTGGGGGGCTATTCCCCACATAAACCACCATTTGGGGTGAGGTCGTGCGGGGTCGTTATAATGTTGGTTGCTGTTGACCCCCCTGCAAAGCTTAACTTTTTCGGGGTTTAGTCCTAAAGTCTAAAGATCCAACCCAATAGCAGCCACGTAATTCACCCAGAAAACTTGGTTGTTTTTCATTTGCCCCCCTTTCAAAATCCAAACCCCCCAAAAAAAGACGAGCCGCCCGAATGGCATGGCGCCTCACTCCCGGCCATCCGCCTCTGAGGGCCCCAGCCGTTGCCCTTGCCCTTGCCCTTGCGATGCCTGTGCATCCCAGGCCAGCCACGTTCGTTGGGCTTCAAATCAATTCAGCTCACAAAGTGGCTCGCACCCAAATGACACTTATTTCATACTAGGCACTTCGAAATCGATGCTTTATCCGTCCCTTGGGTTAAGCAGCAGCCACCCTTTTATCGATTAGGATTGGCCATCGCCCTTTCCGGTGGTGTCCTTTTCCATGCCAAAATTGGGTTTTGAGTTTGGAGAAACACCTAGCTCACCTCATGCGGGGGGGTATTGCTGGAAAGGTGCCCCGCGCGATACCAAAGCGGGATTCTACTTTCCTAGGAAGTTGAATGGGCGTCAGTCAATCGGTTTGAACATTGTCTGCGCACATCTGGGCCTGAGCAACCTGACTTCACCCTCCAAACATGGGACACAGGCTCTTTACAAAATCTTCCAGGCAGGGCTGCAGGCGTCCATTTGGGAAGCCAAATGGGCTTGGGTATTGTTGCAAAGGTAGCTGTGTATATATATATATATAATAAAGGGGCCCTAAGTAAGGCCCTAAGGCTTTCAATCGGTGATAGCGCCTTCCTCCCCGTGGCCCCCAACTTGTTGTTGCCTCCGTTGTTGGTGGAAGAGGTTTTTGTTTTTTGCCCAAGTCGTTCTGAAGGACAGCCTGTTGGCCCCTCAGGAAAAAAACAGACCTCTTTTTGGTAGATGATACAAAAGGAAAGCTCCACAAAAAAAAAACGGGAAAAAGGGCACCGCGTGTCTTGACACTAAGAGGCGATGCCCCGGTGGAAGCCTCAAAGTTGCTCCGGCGCTCGTTGAAAACCAACTCCTCCCCAGAAGAACCAGCCGCCCAGCGGCCCAAAGGGAGGGTTCAGCCGGGCACCGTTGGAGGGCCTCGAAGAACAAGAAACGTTGATTGGCGCGGTGCAAGCTACGACCTCGCAAAGGATATGGCTGTGGCTCAAAAAACCGGTACCAAAATGGAACCCTGGTAAGTGGAAACATGGACCAAAACCTGCGGTTTGCCCCTCCTGGTTAATTTTGAACCACACCAGTCAGTCCTTGAAACTCCCATCTCCCGCCTCCCCTGTGAAGCGCTGGGGTCTGCCCACTCGGACCTCGGAGAAGAATGTCGCCCAGTTTGTTGTGGCCCACCAAGGAGTTTGGAGGTTCGTGCTGAGAGCGGCAGGGTACTTAGCTAATTGTTTTCTAAGCCTGGATATAGCCCACTTAGGATACCCCAGTGGGTTATAACCACGATTAATTATTACCCACTTACTAAGTACCCTGCCCTTGTCAGCAGTCCCCAGTCAGCCCCCAAAGCGATCGTTTCTCACTTCCAGATTGAGTGGATTGCAACCAAGAAATGGGAGCTTTTGATTTCCGCCCGAAAATGGAACCCAAAAAGTGGCTAAAGTCCACAAAAGCAAACTGCCTTTGGGTTATGCTTTCCTCTTTGATAAAGAGCCTGTCATTTATGTCATGCTATCGGAGGGTACCCTTTTTGGAACAACGCTTTGCCATGAGGCTTGCTAAACAGGCTTACTCTGGCAAGGAATGGGCCCTTGGAGCTCGCGAAGGGAAAGCCGTAAAACGAATCTGTTGAGAATAATCCAGTACTCAGTTGGAAGAAGCCGTCCTTTTACACAAATTGCATGTTTAACAGGTGAAAGCAGAAACTCCAAGTACATTGCGCAGTTTGCCTAAAATGAGGTCCGTTTATTCAGAGTTAAGAATCGTTTTGTCAAAGTCCAAAACACAAATGACGACTTGGGTGAACAAACGCATGCTTGTCAATTTTGTCGAACCCAATCGACTCCCTTCAGTTTTGTCCAATTCCAAAACCTGACAAACAACAACAAGTTAACATGGATTTTCTGACTGGGTGCCATCGATCGAGACAAGCTCTTTAGCTTGTCTCGGAGGGTAACAAGGAAAGGCAAGGTGGACAGGGTTCCTTAAAGGATACATCAAACAACGATGGACGCCCCGTTCGCCATATGGCAAGTAGGGGAATTGGAACTCCCCAGTTCCCCGTAACTTGTGGTTTTGCGCGTGGGTGCGGTTGGTTTACTTGCAACATGGCAGGGGGCATCCACCTTACCTGCGTTGCAAGATCCTCTAAGTCAGCTGGCACGCTTGCAGCGTAGCCTTCAAGGGACGTTGGAGCTCGGCATGTTCTCTACTTTTTGGTTTGGACCATTTTCGAGGTAAATCAAAAGTTCGAATCCACTCAATCTGGAAGTGAGAAACGGTCGCTTTGGGGGCTGACTGGGGACTGCTGAAAAGGGTAGGGGTAGGGGTGGCGAAGCTGTGGATCCGCCCCTTGTGGGATATTAGAAGGGTACTCAAAGAGTGCTAACAAAAACGAACCTACAGGGCGAATCACAAATGAAACCCACAAAAGGCGAATCCAAACCGTTTCCTGGATGTTTCCAGAGGAATCTGTAGACTTTTCATCAGACTTGACCTGCAAGCTCATCAAGGGGTGGTATTCCAAACCTTGCAAACAACTAAAGGGGAAGAACATGGACAAAACCGAGCAAGCAACCAAAAAAGCCACACTTTTCCAGACCCTGCCTGGATTTCAGACGTTACATTTAAAGGGGCCTAATTGCCGGCCGGGCCTATACCCCCTGGAACAGAGGCAACCCATTGAAGGTCTGGCCATGGGTCAAAATCCCGTTTCCCCAGTGAACATCCCAATCCCCACTAAAATAGACTAGAAGCGTGGTGCACCTACCCCAAAATGGTACCATTGGTTTTGACCCACAGCCGTCTGGGCTGAACGCAAAAAAGCACGGAGTGGGCGGAAAACCTTTTGCTCTTTTCTCGAATGCCGCGAGATCTCGCGCACGGGTGGCCACGCCTCTCTGGCGCCTTATGCCACCCGTCGGCCCCATTGGCGCCGCCGATGCCGGCTCAATTCACCAAAGTTGCCTCATTTTTTGTAGGAAGTATATAAGGAGATATGCTCGCTGTTTTTGTTTGCGTTAATGCGATAATAAAGGGGGTGGTGACCGCCGGTGATAGGGTCGCTGACTGTCTCAAGAACTTGCGGTCCATCCGCGGCTTCCGGTGCATCACGGCATACGCGTGTCGGCCGGAAGGATCGACGCTGTGCATCGACCTCGAAAACCGCCACCCGTTTCATCCAAAGTCAGCTTCCGAATCCAGGATTCCAACTGCTGGTGTGGACCCTGTGGTTTGCTGGTCCTGGTATATCGGGGGTTTCCCATCTACCCTCTACAACCAGGGCTTTAAAATGCTTTAAAATCCATTGCAAGCCTTCCAAGCCACCAACCCAAACCTCAACTACGGGTTACCAAAGGCGTCCTCGAACCCCGACACAACATGGTCTCCCGGGCACCGCCCCATGTTTCTGATGTTAAAAGGAAATCAAAAGGAAAACCACGATGGAGGCTCCCCTAAAACGACAGGCCGGATCCAAAATCTGGGCAAACAACTAGGGACCTTTCTGGGCTCTTGGTCGTTTTAGCCCCCTCGGTCAGCTCGCAAAAAGTAATTTGGCCAGATCTAAGAGGACACCCGAGAAGGTTCCCTCATCTGCTCCAGATACGTACATCAAAAGCATTGCTGCGACAGAAGGGGGGCCAAAAACGATTTGAACTCCCAAGTCTCACAAAAACTATTTTGCCCAGATCGAAGGGGACATCCGAGGCTTCTCCATGGTTCCCTCATCTTTCCAAGCCGCAGGTTAAAGCATGGTTGTCTTCGCAGCCACTAAGCTAGGTCCCAGTAGAGAGGTTAGAATAAGGGTACCCTTTTTTCTGTAGTCTATTTTAGGGGGAAACCAAAAGGGGTGGGAAAGGGCAACTGGCTGGGGGACTAGTAAATTACTCATAGACTGTCAAGTACCAAACAAAAGCCTAGCGCAAGTGAAGTCAGGCGGCTGATGGCAGCTGCTCGGAGCCACTTAAAAGGAGACCGGCGGAGAATAGGGGCACTCAGAGAAGTGCCCGATACGGTTCCCCTCCAAAAGGCAGGACCTAGCGTTCAGGTACGCCATGTCGGACCCAGAGTTCGTATAGCCCAGCAGGCACTTGATGTAGTGGTGCTTGGCAAACCTCATGGTTCCACGTCAGCTTCGCAGATGGTTCTATTCCAGAAGGGCGGAGAAAATTATTACAAACATCCTGCCAGTATGATTTGATGTACTGTTTAAGTGCCCCTTGCGCGGAGGTCAACCTACTTCCAACCATGGGAACCAAGATTTCACCTTGGGAAACCTACTGAGGCACTCGTGGTTAAACTTCCACCAACTTGAGTCGATCCTTTTCTTTTCAGGGTCCCCAAGCCGGGAGAACGTTTCCAGCAGGGAGGTAATGGTACGGTGGGTGCCCCGTTCGCGGTATTGCAAGTAGAGGAATAAAGGAACTCCCTGATTTACTATGATCTATCATGGCTTTGTGGCTGGGTGTGGTTGGTTTACTTGCATTTAGTTCATCCACCGTAGAAGCAGGGTCCATTTCGTGTAGCTTTGTGATACCAAAGTGGGCCACTCCAATCCCGACGAGAGGTTCCCTTAGCGCAGCGGAAGCCCAAACCCCAACTTCCAGCGGTATGTGAGTGGCACCCCCAGGTAGGACGATTCTCAGAGCAGCGGTTCTGGAAGCCGAGAAAACGTAGAATGACATATATCCTTCTTAAACACACCAAAAGGAGGTAACTCCGCCTATACCTTTTACGGGGCGGTCCCCCCCATTCGATTAGCCTTCCCCCCCCACCATTCGATGTTTCCAGCCTTCCTCCCCCAAAATGAAGTTTGCATGTCAATCTCCAAGGGTCGAACTGTCCCCCGCCCCTCCCGCAATTCCACGTTGAGATGTGTTGTTTGCTTATAGATTTTGGTGCGTGAACAAAATCCCGCAACAGTTGGTAGATTTAGCCACTTCAAAGGGATTCATCCATCCCAGGTGCGGGATTTCGTCCACAGCATCTCCACCAAATTCCATAATTCACAATGACTCACACAAATGAGTGTACCAAACTTGAGGAGTCCGTAAAGTGCATGTTTTTCTGTTAGTGCTCCTTTAAAATCATTCGTGAAGGACCAAACCGTTCGCTTTGGTGATCCATCTATTGCAGAGGCGGGTTGGTAGCTCCTTAGCTCCCGCCGTTACGGGGCATCTTTCAGCTGGGTTCTTGACTGTTGCTCAAACATGCCTAAACAGAGTACCCCGAGATCGTGCTGACTTGATTGACTGACTTCTTGAGTGGCTTGGCAACAAAGTCAGGGCTTTTATGCTTGCACCACTCATTTCCATGGTCTTGCGAAGTCAGAAGTTCATAAACTTGGGAGTCAGCAACACGCATGATTATGTCAAACTAGGGGACAAGCCTCCCCAATGGTGGGTATCCTTCGAACCAACCTTAAAAGGCACATAAAAACCAACACACCTGCGCCGCACTGATTCGCTGAGGTGCTCCCTGTGGGTGATCCCCTTGCAATTCTCCGGGGAATGATATTCGGCCTTGGCCTTCACGTCCGCACGCATTGCGGTACAATCCACTCCAGCGCTACATAAGGTCCTGGGCTGTTGCACCCAGGTGAATGCTTCCAAAAATGTCTCGCCCTGCAAACTTTGTCTTGCGGCATCCAAGTCAGACATCCAAATAATTGCAGTTAGGCCTATGCTCTTGGTGCCCGGACTGAACGCAGCGTCTGAAAACTTGCAAGGTTGAACTGGTTTACCTGGAACTCAACTCCCCAAGCCAATCCAAACCCTAAATAGTTTCTATAATAGATATAAGTAAGGGTTATCTTACAGACTCGGCCGACTAAATGGGGGTCTGACAAAAAAGCACTCAGCATCGGCCAAACCCTGACATGTACAACCACAGCACCTGGAAGAAGCCCTGTGTCTTGTGCAAGTAAGAAGCCAAGTAGGAAGAGCGACGGATTCGCGAAATATTGCGGGTGTCTGTATCCCATATCCCCACTAAGCCCGTATATTGGTTTTGTTGCCTCAGTCCTTGCCTTGTCAAGCCGCCTATCCTCGCCCTGTTCCTTTTGGTTTCCCCCAACAAAACACTAATGCTTTAGGGCACCCCTAAAGAGACACGCCCATTTTCAATTCAGCAAACGGTCTTCAAGCGTCTGGGCAGCCAAGACCTGGTTGTCGTCCAACCAATCTGCCAGCACCAACTCCTCTGAAGGTGAAAGCGCGCAGGGCCATCTGTGGGTCGTTTTCGGATTAGTTCTGACCGCATATGAATCAACCCCCTGTTTATGAATGGAGGGGGCTGGGTGAAATGTGTGGAATCAGACCACTTTTGGTGGGGGAATTGATGTGGGTCAGCATCAACTTTCAAGGATCCTCACTTCTGATCGAGTGGATGAGCCAAAGGAAGTCAACACTTGTTGTTTACCCCAGACCCCCTGGTAGCTCCTTACTGTGGATGGACAAAATCCATTTCGCACCACCTAAGACACCCTGGTTTCTGATGGTTCCCCTGTAAATACCAGCAAACGTTATGGTGTCAACCATGGTTTAAGTGGTGCGAGAAGCGGATTTCGCAACCATCCACAGTAGCTCCCTGTTTGGAAGCAAACTTGGGATCGTCCCGGCTCCTTGGCCCCCTTCCAACCCACAGCTAGCAGCTAGTGTGCGCAAGTACCCAAAAATAACCTTGTTTCCAAAAAAACAAGCCCAAAACAAGAGCTCAGTTGCCCAAAGGACCTGGAACAAAAAGGTTAACCTTTTGGGGCCATGACTAAAAATAGACCAAAATGGGAAAGGCTTTGAACAACTGAGAGAGGGGAACCCGGCGGTATTTTTGAAGAACGAGACTTGCAGTTCTTCACTTCATTGATTTGGGCCAACCACGCAAGTCAAACATACCCTTGCAAACCCAACTAAACGGCACAAAAAGGATCTCCAGAGACCCCCCCCTGCTATTTGTGCAATATTTGTGCAAACTGTTTTGTCTTGCATCTGACCAAGGCAGAGCCCCCAAAACCCGCCAAAAAACCAAGACATAGCCAAGACAAGCTCGGCTGAAACCTACACGCCAACAAAACCAACCACGCTTCTCTGCCGAGCTCAGGCTTGTTTGATCTACCTACCTTCAAGTAGATCGGTAATAGCGTCGTCCTGGAGAAGAGGACCGGAAACAGGCCCAAGGCTTTGTGACGAGCTTGATAAGCTTTAAAGGCGTGCTTTTGCAGGCCTTTTCGGGGCATTCTTGACCCAATGGAGATGCTGACTCAATTCAACCCTCCCGGGACCCAAAAGCACTGGAAGTCACTGGCACCTGCCTTTGCTTGACCTGCCTTCATCGGCCAACCCACGCTAACCTGAAGTTTAAAGGGACATAGGCTGGACGGGTGTCTTTTTCGAATGTCGTGCTATAGATTGTTGAGAAAAAATACATGGAAAGCAACGACCTCGCCTACCGTTTGCCTCACCCCCCCTTAGATTGGGACTAAGACTTCGAACTCCCTCCCTGCACCCTTTGAAGTGGGCTTCGCGGGGTCCCTTGAAACTAAACAAATATACCAGAGCACTACCCCCGCACCACTGCCCCGAAAACAACCACGCAATTACGATTTCAGGCGACGTCGCTCTGCATATTCCCGGGCAGCGAAAAAGAAGAACGCTTCACCACATACCACACCAGAACAAAGTTGAAGGTGTGCGGGGTTGGGCGCAAACCCTCCTAGCAAGGTCGCTACATGTATCGGCTAGGCTTGATATCGGTCTCTTGGCTTATTGGTGGCCTGGTCATCACTCACGCTACGCTGTCTTTCTTGCGGCTGTCGCATTGATTGCCTTTGGCCCACTCCCTGAGCGTATTGTAAAGTCCAGGGATTCAAGGAGTGAGTTGATGGTTGTTTAATGGCATCACATGATCAGCCGACTGGGCCAAAATTGGCTTGATCTTGTTTTGGGCTTGTTTAGACTCGTTATGTTCATTTAAGAAAGTTGTAGCCAAATGTAGCCAATGGGGGGGGGCGTCTCGTTTTGCAGAGAATAAGCGCGAAAGCACTTGTGGGACAAAAGCGTGCCGCTATCCCTGCAACAATCCTGTATGCCAAGAAGGCTACTTTGTTCTCTCCCATCGTTCCTTCAGCAGGAGAAATATGAGGAACTGGACTATTCAAAACGGGCCATGGTTCGCTTCGTTTTGGGCTGCTGTTATGCTTGCTGGCGTTTCGCCGCCCCGAGCATGCCTTGCAACCACGTGGGCAAGGCTTGCAAGAGCACTTCAGCGGTCGGAAAGCTTCGGGTCTGCTCTGTCACAGCTAGTTGAAACCGACCACTGGCAACAAACTCAACTGTCGGTCTGTCACAGCCATCACTCTCACAGCTGTCAAGATCGGTTCCGTCAACCTCGTTTCATCTCGTGTTGCATGGTGTCCAACGAAACTATCTCATTTGGATCTCGTTGATTTCGGGGGACCATCTCGTTTCACAGCAACATCTCTATACGTTCGAACAATTGTTGGTTAATTGCTTGGTCGCTCACATGTTGGCGGCTTTCGATGGTGGCGCTGCCTGCTGCAAAGCTCTTGCATGGGCTCCTTCCTCGGTGTAAAGCCAGTTGCAAGTGGATGGATTTTGCTTGGTTGCTGCTGACCCGTCTGCGAGCAAAGCTTTACGTTTTGTCCAACACAAAAATCACCTGTTCCCAAATCCCTTGCTAAAAACTTAACTTGTGGGTTAAATGGAAACCCAACCACTAAACCCTAAAAGCCTAAACGCCTAAGGGGACGGCTGGGAAACGCCAAGGCATCGGAAAGGCGATTCAGCTTCCCTCTTGGTGGTTTGGACGGGAGGTGCAGAAAATCTCCCGAGTCAAGGGTGGCCACAAATCCAGACGACCAACTAGGGGACGATACCTGTGACGCTTGAAGTGCAAAAAACAGAAGTATGAGAACCCCCCCAGTTTCCCAAAAAATCCCAGTGCAAACAAGCTCGGCTCCTCCTTCTGAAAGTTGTACTTCTCCTGATCCGGTTGCCGAGTTCCCCAAGAGACTCAACCCTGCGCTTTGGCTCGTTCGGAGATGCTGAGATACATGCAAACCCGTCCAAGGGCCACCTCTCCCAAAAAGGCGCCCCACACTTCAGCCCCGAGAGGGTGCCAAAGGCAGAAGCCTGAGGGCTATGGGGAAAGGCCTGAAGGGGAACCCAAGCTCAAAACCACCCGCAGGGAGGTGCCCGCAAATGGGACGAACACTGAACTCTGAACAAAAGGGAGATCTACCCCAGCGCCCAAGTGGTCGGAAGCAAAGGATGTGAGCTTGGGATAAATCCCATACTCAGGACTGATTCCCTCCCTTGGTGAATTATTTTGCAGATTACTCCGAAGTTGGCATTCATGAGTTGGAATGAAGTGACACACCCCTTGGCAGCAAGAAAGAAGACTCAGTTGCCCCAAATGACCCAGAAATAAAGGTTAACCTTTTCGGGCCATGACTACAAATGGGCCAAAGAGGGGAAACCAAAAGGTCAAAAGGTTGGCTTTGAACAACTGAGAAGAACCCTGGGTGTCTGGGCTTGGATCTTCCGAGTGACACATTTGCTCGCGCGCGCGCCTGGATGCGAGTGCAAGCCTGCTCGGAAAGCTCGACCCAGTGGGTCTTGTTCTGCATCCAGTGGGGGTCCAAGCCTGGCGCAACGCGCAAAATATGTTACTCAGCTGCCCCAAGGACCCAAAAGTAAATGGCTGACCCGTTGGAGGCCATGACCAAAAGGAGGAACAAAAGGACACTGAAAGGCCAGAACGTCGGTTGGATGTGGGCAAGTGGGGGGCCAAGCAATGTCCCGCAATGCTGCTCGTAACAAGCTGCATCATTCGGCATGTTGGGCTTTCTCAGAGATGGGTAACCATGCACGAACATCTGTGGTTCTGCTTGCAGAATGTGACTGCTGAACTGGCAATTTGTCAACCACAGTCCTCGGTTGCTGTCTGCTCCCCTGCTAAAAGCCAAACTAAAAGCTTAACTTTTGGTGGTTTATTCGGGAAACCCATTCGTTGGCAAAATGTTAAAGTCCTAACATCCAAGCAACATGAACCAAAGAGTCTTTTGGATTGCCGAGGAAAGTTTGAAAGGTATCTCACGCCTCAGTCGGGAGTTTCTCCATGTGGCGGCCCCCCTGTAGCTGGTAATTTAAACCTAAAGGAGACCATATTTCATTTTGCGGAAACCTACTTCTCTGTCCCTAAGTGGCAAAAGGCCAAACTTTGGATTGGCAACAAAAATCGTCTTTCCAAACAAGTTGAAACCAAGTCCATGAACTCAGGGAGTGGGAGAAACACCCCACCCTTAGCATCACGATTTATCGGGGGGTCTGTTGAGGTCTGGGGCCCTCATTTTTTCTTGCGAGGGCCCCACAAGGGTCCCTGCATGGCCGAAGGGGCCTGACAAACAACTTTCATTGGCCGCCAAGGGCGCAAACTGCCTCAGAACCACAAAGATCAAGTTCATGCAGCAAACATGCAGCTGTTCTCAAACTCGCTCCAAAGAGCGCGGTTTAATGGTTTGTCCCGCTCCCCGTGCTGCTCGAACTACCTTGCTTCTTTGGTTGCGACACGTGTTTACCAAGCATGGCAACAACCTTCAATCCTAAATCCCAATTTCTTATAGTAATCGACGCCTATCCGACAGCAGGGTACGTCAAAAGCAAACGGGTGTCTCCGATGAGGTTCTTGACGTCTATCCGACGCCAATCCGACGAAATGTGCCCTCAGAGTACGTCAAGAAACAGCTGTTTTGAGGGGCCGACAGATTATCCGACGGGGGTATCCGACGCCTATCCGACCGCTATACGACGACCACCCGGCGCCCCATGTCTAACATGAAACAGGTGAAACCATGGGATTCCAGCTTCCCCTTGAGGCTTTGATCAAGCACTCTCACCTCAGAATTTTGTCCTCCCACCATGCTGCCGAGCAGGAATTGCAAGGAGTGAGTTGCTTGGTCCGAATGATTTTTACAGCTCCGTGCATGTGCCCAGTCCAGCGTAGCGTGAGACCCACCGCTGGACCCTCGGGCCCTCGACTCTTTGTCCTGGGAGCCCAGGCATGGGAATGTGCATTGCACATCCGAGGTTTTGCATTGGAGGGTCCAAAGATGCTTAGGGCAGTTGTTTAATTGAGCATTGTTCAGGGTCTTGGCCCACCCCCGACAAGCTTTGGACAGTGCGGAAACGGGCTCCAGCTCACTTTTGAACAACGCGCGTGGACAAGTGGAAGGGGAGTAGCGGGTCCGGCAAAAATACAAGCCTTGGCTTTGACCGGCATTGCCTGAGGTTGCCCCTTGCTACAGAACTTGGGAAAAATGCCGGCCCGTCCACGCAATCCTTATGTTCCTTGCACTTTTGAGTCCAAAACCTGTATGGATGGTCCACATCCGGGCATCTGCAGAACTCCCAAGTACTCTGAATGTCTTCACCGCCACAAGTTTTTGCTTCCAGGATCAGAGCCGGGCTTGTCTGCAATTGCGATCCGCATCGCCCCCTTTTCCCCACCCAAGACTTCCAGAACCAAAAAAAAATCACAACGCCCGCCTTGACCCTGGAGGAATCCAAGAGAGTAACCGTACAAGTCATCGAAGCTGTAGTGAGGGGCGTCCATGTAAGTGTACACCGTCTCCCCCTCGAAGTCGTACTTCAGTCTGAGGCCGCGCAACGCCCGAATAATAATAATAATAATAATAATAATAATAATAATAATAATAATAATAATAATAATAATATATATATATATATTTAAGGGCGTGACGCATTCTCAGCTCGTGAAACCTGGGTAACCCGGGTAGTCATTCTCTGTTTGATCGGGAAGCCAACCACCTTGGGCGCATCTTGGGCGTATGCACAAAAATGGGCGACGGGGGCATTTGCTGATGCAAAGAGTGGAGGCTTTTTGATGGGTGGAGGCCGACAGCAACGACAAATCAACCAATAAAAGAAAGCCGGGAAAGCCGTGGTAACTAGGTCCTCCAGTAGAGAGGCTGGAACAAGGGTGCCAACTTTGTCTGTAGTCCTTTTTAGCCGGGGAACCCTCCCCCCAAAACGGGTTTTTGGGGCAGCTGGGGGACCTAGACCACTTGCCAGTTCAAAAAAAGTGCACAGAACCACCAAACCCAATCAAAGACGGCAGTCCGTGAGATCCCAGCCGCAATGGCCCGGTGTTCAGGCCCTTGTAGCTGCCATCCCGCAAGCCGAGGATGCCATTCACCGCGGAATCCTCAAAGCCCCCGGCGAGTGGGTTCACCCAGAAGCCTGCGGGGCTGGACGCTGGACGCTTGACCTCTTGACCTTGGGTTGTGCAAATGGCCCCGCAAAAACCGAGATGGAACACATCGGCGAGGTTTTGGCGACCAGAAACGGATTGAAGTGCAATGACGTGTCAGGCCCATAAAAGCGAGAACGAGTTCTCCTTGGCATTTGGTGTATGTCGTTCTGCTTTCACTTTGTTCACGCAGCAAAATCGAGGAGGCATGCCGTGAAGCTGCTCAAAATGGAGGCTTGGCCACTCCTCATCCATCCCATGAAAAAAAAGAAAAGAACAAAAACCGGGGGACGCCATAGCTAACCCAGAGCAACTCGGTCTCCTGCACAAGTATATTACTTTAGACGAAATATGACACAGCATCAGGAGATGCTCATTTGAGGTACCTTTTTGCTGGGCCAAGACGGAGGTCACAAGCTATTGTAATGTTCTAGGGGTACCTTCCTTTTGCATTCTTTGCAGAGAGGTTAGAGTAAGGGTACCAACTTTTCCCTGTAGTCTACTTTAATAGGGTCCCGAACCCTCCCAACCAAAAAAGGGGTGAGAAAGGGCACCTAATGTTGACCCCGGATGAATAAACCCCTGATTAATCAATAAACAGGGGTTTGTTCATCCGGGGTCAACATTAGCTGGGGGACCTACTTGCAATATGGCCAGGGCGTCCGGCACCCACGCCCAGCGCCGGTTGGTTCCTTTCAGGGGCGGTTCCCGGGTTGCTGATGGAGTGCGCCGGGTTTTTTGCCCCGCAACAATCGATGATATGGAGAACATCCGCGATGGTTTTTGCGACCAAAAACGGATTGAATCCTTGGTTTGTCTGGCCAAGATCCTGAATCTGGCCCCGTTATGTCACCACACTCAAATTCACCCCGGGAGTGGTAGGTGAAAGGGAAACCACCGTAGAGCTTCTGACTTTCACCCCCAAAAACAGAACCAACATATTGACCCAAGTGAATTGCCTTCACCTGGGCTATGAAATGGATCTCGTCCAGGAGCTACATCCACAGTGTGCTCGTTTTACCGTTTCATCCCGGAGTGAGCTCGATCCGAACTAGGAAAAAGGCTTCCTCATCCTTCAGGGCTCCTGGGAAAAACGAGCTCTACTTGCTTTGTTCTGTAGTTCAAAGCAAAACCCTTGCAAAGACAAGGGAAGGGCTCGCAAGCCCAACTGGGGGGTGAGGGGGGAGAATGGGGGGGGGGGTCAGAACGAGGCAGTAAGTGTGCGTTTCATTTGTGGCAGGGGTTGGGAGGCAAGGGTGGGATCCGAGTTGTGACTTGCGCCTTGGTTTGGAAAAAAAATGAGCGAAATGTGAGCTTCAGCAACTCTCAATGGGGCCTCTTGGCAAATGAAGCCCAGCCAGAAGGCTGGGGGTAGGTGCCGCTTCCATGATGGATTCCTTAGAGAACTTGTGTAAAACCTCAAAATGTCGCAGGTCAAAGAAAGCCATCCCATTTCAAGGTGAAGGCCGGGTTGCTCCATTGACCTTAGTCTTCCAAGAAAAGGAACACGTAACTATGACAAACTCAAGTGGTCACTTCCCTACCTCAAATCCATTGTTGACCCTCTTTCCAGCCACGCTCTCAAACCTGGGGGGGAACACTGACGCATAATGTCTCAAGCAATTTGTGGGTGTGGTTGAACCTTTAGAGAAACGAAACACATGTCTTTGGACGCGGGCCTTTGCACGATGCTGGTGAGGTTGGTCATTTGACCTCGCTTGGAACACACTTCATGTTTGCGGTGACAAGGGTCTAAACCTGCACAACACACCACGGAACTGAAGAACGATAAAGGGACGATACTTCATGAAACTCGCACGACCCCGATGAGAAACCAAAGGGGTTCGCCTAACCAAAATAGGTCCTGTCCCGCATTGCAGGAATTCCATCCTACCCTCCAAGAGTCTCTATATTCCTTTATTGTGGGTAAGTAAAGGGGATGACCACCTGTGCCGTCTAGCTCAAAGAAGACCTGAGCGAGGTGGTTGGGAACTTAAAAAGACAAAGGAACCGTGAAAAACCAAATGAACTGAAACAAAAAGCTTCCTGAGTGGATTGGCTAAAATAAGCCAAAAACATGCTTTGCTCCAGCAAAACAAACAAAAAGGGCCCACTTCGAGCAAGACTCTTCAGTTCACTCATAGCAAAGCCAGACTAGGACTGAGCTTGCATAATTGAACCTGTATGGGTCCATCCCGTGTGTTTGTTTCAGGGTACCCTTTGTTAGCTTGACTTAAAAGCAACACCAAAATGAAAACCCACCATTTGCTGGGTTCCCCCCAATTTTGTTTGCAACATATCCATCTGGTCTTCCGTGACATATCTTCACGTCCAACCCGGAAAGTGGAAGAAAGCCGAGACGAGGCGAGGAGGCCCTCGCGCGCTCGATCGCGACGATCGCTCGACGCCTCGCCTGTGTAGTTGAAGTAGCAGTAGCCGTCCATGCCGGGGTGCTCGGCCATAACGTCGGGCACAGGACGATAGCAGTCCTGAGGCTTACTCACTGGCCCCCGGATGGAATGAGGGAATGAACCTAGGGGTTATCTTAACTCCTAAACTCACTTGGGTATGGGTCAAAACAAACCCAGCAGACCACAGGTTTTGGTCCATGTTTCCACTTCCAGGGTTCCATTTGGGGTACCTATTTTTGACCCACAGCCACTTGTCTTCCATTCGACCGGAGCTGACCTTTTGGTCTGAGTCGTGGCAACCCGAAAGGTGATCGCCGAACTTCTCTTGCTGCTGCTCAGCTGGGCATGAGGGAATAGCCACAAACCATCCCTTGCGGATTCCTCCCAGAAAAAGCTGGACAACATGCACGTCGCGGTTTTGCTGATGAAGCCTTGTGCATACTGTGAGCAACCACCTACCAATGCCCAAAGGCCCTAAGCTTCGGGCCGTGAGTGGATGTGCCACACAAAGTCCAACAACTTGTTGTCCAAATCCAAAACGTGACTCAAGTCCCAAAAACTCAAAGCGTGAGAACAGGTCGGTCTCACCTACTTTTCTGAAGGAATTAGATTCCCACCAAGTAGCATGGAACATGACGTTCCGGGGTCCCTTAGGAACATGGTCCAAACCAGAGCCCCCCCCCCAAAACGTCAGGTTCCATGTTAATTGGGAGGGTAGCCATCTGCAGAAAAGTCGCACAAAGTCTCTCAAAACTGGGAAAGAACGAAAGAACAACCCAGATCGCACAAACTGGCTTGGACCCAAGAACACTTCACCAACCCGAAGTCAGAACCGAGAAAAAACAAACAAATACACACACACGCCTCACTCATGCGCCTTATAAACCGTTTACCGCAAAAAACAACAACAAAAAAAGCGGTTTCACGGCGGGTTGCCGCCTGCCTCAAACAAAGCCCCGAGCGCGGATCGGAGCGAGCCCCGAGGCTGTGAGGCTGTGAGGCTGTGAGGCTGTGAGGCTGTGAGGCTGTGAGGCCCTGGCGTGGCCGTTGGTGTGCACCTTGCAGTTGTTGCTGCAAATGTAGTTGGCGCTGGGGTCGCAGTGGTCCTAACGAAAGCATTGCTCTTCCAGAGCGTGCCTGCGTTCTTGAGGAGCGAACAGCTTGAAACCGGAGGAAAAAAGTCCGTCAGGTTCAGCAGAAAGAACTCTGGGCCGAAGAAGCGAACATCCAGAGGAGTTGAAGCCAGATATCGTTTGTTGGTATCTGCACAAGGGGAATCGAATCATACTGCGGATGGACGAAATCCATTTCGCAGCCATTGTTCGTTGGCATTTGCGGCGGATGTCATTCCAGGGTTTCTTAGGTGGTGCGATTTCTGGATTTCGCAACCATCCACAGTAGGGCTTCGGAACGCTGGTGCGACATGGAGTTCGTCCAATCCCCAGCAAGAACCAGCAACCGGAACCTCCAAGGAACCCTAGCCCGGAGATTTCCGCTCCGCAGCTTCTCCGGCCTGTGGACCCCATAGCTTTCTGGGGAATAACTTGGACTTACTGCTCGAAAAAAGTCGAAACTTTGTGCCTGCCACTAAAATGGTCCAAACCCAAACAAGCTTAAAACGTGGATGAACTCCGAAAGTGAGCGGACAAGTTCGGGCTGACAACAGGGATGGAAGTGAATTTCCGGGAGAATCCTACCGCCTTCCTTGAGTTCCAGATTTCAGCAATAAGAGTCTTAGAGCCTTAATAGTTAGAATGGGGTGGGGTGCTTTCAGGCCAAGGCAAGCCATGATTGAACCAGAGAACAGCAATTCTTCAGCCCCCTATTTTTTTTGCAACATGACTTTGGGGTGTGCATCGAATTGTGGGTGAATCCCAGCCTGGGAGGGTTTTAAGGAAGCCCATCACTTCGAGTCACATGGGGAAACCTGATCCACATTAAGGGCACCACTTCAAAACCGTTGAATCCATAATCTGACTATCCGCTGGAGAACCATTCTCTATTTTTTGAAAATGGGACAGTCTGAAAACCTACAAGCAAAAAACTATTCTGGAATCCACTTCGCCTCCATGGAAAGTGTTTGTTTGTTGGCATCCAACCACACCATGATTCAACATCTTTGCAGTAGTGATAGTTCCCTTCAATACCAACTACCAACAGGGGAAAAGAGCAACATATTCATTTCAGCAAATGGACGTAGGAAACCAAGCTCTTGCCATCCAAATGGGATTTCGCAACCAACAGCTTATTTTTGGCCCCGAAAACTTAGGCGCCAGGACCCAGAAATATAAGGTGATCACCTTGTGGTTGGCCATGACCGAAAAACGGACAAAACGGGGGAAACCAAAAGGTGGAAAGGTCGATGCGCTTTAGGCTGAGAAAAATATGCCCCAACTTGGGCCTAGAGTCTCTTTCTGACCCCGAAAACTAAACCCTAAAATCCAAAAAAGCTAAGGAACCGGACGCCTGGGGGCCACCAAGGGTAATGAACCAATTTTTAGGGTCACGAGGCCATGCTTAACGTTTTTGAAGGAGAGCTCCAGGAGAAGCCAAGAGATGCCAAGAGGCTTTCATAGAGCCCCCTTCGGACCCCTAGAAAAAGGGGTCATAACAGTCATAACCCCTGAACTGTTTTTCGTTTCTAGGGTCAGAAGGGCATATTTTACCATGTTTTTTGGAGGAGTCAGAAGGAGAGCTGATCCCGTTTCTAGGGACAAAAAAGGCGACGGAGAGCTCCAGGGGAGGCGAACCCGGCGCCGAGTCAACTTGGTTGACGTTGAAAGGGGAGCAACAATTCTCAAATGTTAGCAGTTAAGTGGTTGGATTTCCGCCACTAAACCACAATTTACGCAAAAATGTTTCTAACCAACAACAACCATGTAACCCTTCCAGGGACATCCCCCTACTGTGGATGGACGAAATCCTGCACCACCTACAAAAACCCTGGCGTGATGATTCCCCTGTAGATAGCACCAAACAGCGGTTTCTCATGGTTTCCAAGTGGTGCAGGATTTCGTCCACCCACAGTATGAATACGGGCCGCGCCTGCGTCAAGTGCCCGCAGCTCTGCTGCACCGCCTGCCCGAGTTGCAGCAGCTCCACAGCGGCCGACGCCACCTCCGCGCGCGCGTGGGGCGCATGGAGCGCGTGGGGCGCGTGGCGTTTTTTGTTGCCATGGCTTGGTTGCAGGAAGGACCCCCCAGCAAAAAACAGCTTTTGTTGGGCTCTTTTTTGTTTTAATCACTTTTTTCTTGGGGGGGGTTAGTGGAAAACACATTTTTCTAGTTCAACCAAAAAGTTAAAGTCTAAAGATCCAAACGGCAGTCAAGATGAGAGGAGTCCTGCCCCATGAACTTGTCTCATGTACCCTCTAAAAGAAATTTGGGGTTCAAATCCCCAAACCACCAATCCAAACCACGAACTAAGCGATAACTTGCCTGACTCGCTGAAGCATGGAAAAAAACAACTCCTGAGGGGTTTTCCGGCCAACGCTTGGAGAAAGAAAAAAAGGCAAATTCGGGGTGCCTGACTGACCCACTCATAATAGCTAGGTCCTCCAGTAGAGAGCTTAAAAATAAGGGTACCGTGTTTCTTCTTCTTTTTTCTTTTTTTCTGTGGTCTATTTGAGTAGGGCCCCGAACCCTCCCAACCAAAAAAGGAACGGTGAGAAAGGGCACTGGCTGGGGGACCTAGATCACCCGATAGACTGCTTTGGCCCAAGCCTTTCCGTTCAGCCTCTGGACTCTGGAAAAGGGAGTTTGGTGCTTCCGTGGGCTTGGCACCGATTTTCCTCTGCTGCTTCGTGGGGGAAAAAACAACTTGAGTGTTCTGAAAAAAAATCAGGGGTGGATGCAGACAAACCGTTTTCTAGATGAGCACCCGGGCGGGGGTCGAATCCTAAAACAAATTGGCACACCCAAGTCTGGTTGGATCCCGAAGCTTCGTGGTTACCCTCCCCGACAAAATCAGCGCCCCCGAAGCGTCCCGCCCACAAGGCCTAAAAAAGCGGCCCCCGAAGCGTTGCGGAGACCCGGAGACCCAGACATCACAAAATGAAAGAACCTATGTCCAACGGTGAGTTATTCCAAACGGAAAACGAAAAACCCACGGGGGAAACATCCATAAAAAATCCCAGCCACTGGAAGCTTTTGTGCATTGTGGGAACCCAACTCGGGAGACCAACAGTCGATTCGCTTTGGTCGATTTGCTTTCATCTCTACTCTTGGTATGGTAGCTAAAAACTGTTTTTTGCAGACCCCCGGCAAAAATGAACAGAACCCAAAAAACTAGCAAACCAAAAAACATGCCAAGAACAGTGAAGCTTTGGTTGCAACTGAGGAACTTGGGGTCCAACATCGAACCGTTGTAGGGATAAGCCACCAGCGAGCCACTAATGCAATCGGTGGCTGAATCTCTGTGAGTTCTCTTCAGGAAAATTCCTCGATTTGCTTTTTTCGTCCCCTGCAAAAAAAGATTAAACACCTCTCCAGTAGTGGAAAAAGTCCTCTGTACGTTCCCTTTCCAGAGTGAAGTCGAATCCCTTTAAAACCAACAGGGGGAAATAACATAATAATATTCCTTGCACCAGCCGGAAAAAAGGCTTGCAACAGTTTCGCCGTACGCCTTACCCTCATGGGGATAGGGGGGCGGAGGGTGCAAAGCTTTCTTTTTTGCCAAGCGCAGGTGTGGTGGTCAGCATCCTTGCTCTCGCAAGAGCTGGGATAGCAAAAGATTGCAAAAACAAACCATAAATTTCCTGTACGTGGTTTGTCTTGAAGGGAAACCCCACAAAATGGTCGCTTTCCCGTTCAGCGAACCCAAAAAGAAGACAGACCCTAGCAGGGTTGCTCACACAAACGGCAATGGTCCAGCGTTCCCCATAGCTTTGTTGCTGGCAAGCCACCTCCGCAATAAGTGCTTCACTGTTGTGGAATCAATTCAGAAAACCAACTTAAGTTTCAACCAAGCTGGATTGCTCACTCGTTGGTTTGGTGTTCAAGCGAGACGGCTTCTGCCTCCATTTGCTTAAGTCCCCGGGAACAAAAAACACTTACTTCCAGTGGTGGTAGATTGCCCTTAAAAACCGAGCGGGGAAAAGCCAAAACATATGTATTTCATCGAATTAACGTCTTGGAAACCGATGGAACAAGAGGACGATTCCGACTCCTTTGCACCGCTCAAAGGCGCACAACTCAAAGGCTTGGTAGCAAATAACCCTCCTCACAAACCCGATTCCTTGTGGATGGCCCAGGAAAAGTAAGCAAACTCTTGGTATTACCTCCTCACAAACCCGATTCCTTGTGGATGGCCTCGTAGCAAAGCATGTAGTATGCCACGACAATGGCAACCAAGCCCAAAAAAGTGGCCAAAGTCCGACACGGAACTCCGGAAGCGAGTAAGCTTGCTTTCTGCAAGCCCCTACTCTAAATCAACAGAAGCCAAACACAAAAAACCTAAGCAGCCAAGCTCTGATTCCTCCAAAATTGAACAGAACCAGAACACACAATTCATTAAACAAAAGCCGCAAACCCTGCAACACATACAAGAATAGCGATTTATTAAGCGCATGAAAGCCAACTGGCGCCTGAACTCATCATTCATTCTAGGGGTTGACCCATTATTTTCAACCATCGTTCTTTTCAAAAACCAGCTGTTTTACCAGGTTTCTTGGTGGTTTTCTAGAAAGAAGGATCCTTGGAAAGAATGGAAAAGTAAGTCCAAAACCAGTGGCGTCAAGGCGCATCGCACTCCTCTGCCAGCGCGGCACCCAAGGCTGCCAGGTTGAGGAGCAGCCGCAGCATCGGTTCGGAGAAACGCGGAGAGAGGCTGACCGAGGGTCTTCGGCTTTGAGCCCGCAAATGGCTTCCGAATGTGGAAAAAGGCGGACATCCCCATCTGCACGACTTCAAGGGAAGGGCTCCCTCTATTATCACAAAAATTGGTCCAACCAAGTAGTCCACAACTAGACAGGAAAACTGGGGAAGTGGGTATTGTTGAGTGACAGGGGAAAGCAACAAATGGTAGTGCCGCAAGTTTGGGATAAATGCCATGGGAACGGGGCTCCGGTGCTGGAAGGTACCATGGAGCCGAAAGGCAACTAGACATCAAAGGTCAACAGTGGGTTCAACCCACCATTAAAACAATGGGGTGTTCATATAAAATCACCATTGTTTACCTTAGGATTGTCATCATCCAAAGTGGGTCCTTGCCATTCTTGAACCCGAGAGTGCTCATTGCGGACCACTCAACCAACAGGAGAGATGGGATTCTCAATAGCTACTTCGCTCCAAGAAGGCTTTACCCTGGTACCACAAAGTGGTTCTAAAACCCCTATGTGCCATTGGCTCGTCTTGTCTCGGACCCCGGTTTCGTGGTTTCAAAGGGCAAAGAGGAAAAGAGCCATTTTTGGGGGGCCAGGTTCCTCCAAAAAGACGAGCCACCCATATAGCTTTCTGGATTGCATTGTGCCAAACCTTAGGCAACCACTTCCAAAATAAAGGGTTCAACCATGTCTAGGTCCTCCAGTACAGAGGTTAGAATATTGGAATAAGGGTACCAACTTTGTCCTGTAGTCTATTTTAGTAGGGGAACCCTCACAACCAAAAAAGGCGTGACACAGGGCAGCTAGCTGGGTCCCCCTTTCATGTTGGCCCGATTTAATCGGTTGCAATCGGTTGCTTTCTGCTCCCCTAAAAGTTTAACTATAAAATGGTTTAATGGAAAACCCATTAGTTGGCAAAAAGTAAAAATCCTGACATCCAAGCAAAATGCACCAAAGATTAGTTCCGCTTTGGAGGGCCACCCCTTCTGGTTGGCCACAAAAACTCTTCGGGCGCCGGGCCAGTCAGGCCACTCCTGCGGCTCACACGTGGCCAAACATGTGGCGTTTCGGGGGCCAAACCAAAGCATAGGCTCACCTCAAAGAAAATCAACACGGATGGTTTAGGTCGGGGTCAGTCCACTAATCCAACTCAACCTATTCCCCAAAACAGGATCCTTACATTTCTCGCGGATTCCTACGGGGGCCAATGAGGAGCTTGTGTGAAACCTATCGAAGTTTAAACGGACCTTTCAGCTGTGTGCATGCATGTATGTCCGTACGTACGTATGCATTTGTAATGTCATGTCACGTAATGCAACGAAGTGTAGTAAGTGGCTATTTCCCCCCTCCCCCCCTCCTATGACAGCTTTTCCGCATTTGTAACACCAAGATCTGTCCAAAAGCCAGTCGTTGGATGGTGCTGCTGGGACAAACATGACCTCAACAAGTCCACCCTGTTTTCCCGGAGGTAAGTTACAACCGCTTCCAGGTTGAAAGGGAAAATGCAAGGAACACCAACTCAGTCGCCCAAAGGACATAGACATCAAAGAAATTCACCTTTCGGGGCCACTAAAAAAGATCAACGGGAAAATCGAAAGATCCAAAGGTAGACTTGCCTTGGTTGCAAGTGAGCCAAACTTACCAATTTTAGAAGGGGCAGTCTGGCCAATGTTCAGAAAGGGGGGCAATGTCAGACCAGATTCAGATGGGGATTGACGTCCACCTCCCACATTTGAAGGTGTTCCTTTTTCAAATCCATAGCGATCTGGGTCTGTCTTCTTTTGAGGGTACCCCCTGTCGGTTTGTTTTAAAGGACTCGAAACCAAAGAAAACCACCATGTCGGGGGGGTCTACATCGGCGAAAGTCATGACATGCAACCAAAACGGTTGCGAACAGGTAGATCGGCTGAGTCCTGGCTCCAATTGCCCCACCAGTCCTGGGTCCATGGGGAGATTCTGGATACAAATGCCCAACTTCCTGTCTTGAAAGCAAGCCGACCACACGAAACGGCAACCAACACACCCAACAGCATCAAGTCGAAACATAATTCAGCCAGGCAGTGCAGATTTCCATAGTTCTCGCTGCGCAGCCTCTTGAACGAGGCTATATTTGTTTACTTTAATCCCTGTCCTACAACAACTTTGCACTACTTACAAGGACCTCCTCGAGTTGGAGTCTCTGCTCTCTGGAAAACCCTGACCCCTATCTGAAAGACATGAGTTCATCCCCTGATATTACATGCTATTCCAATTGCCGCCCGCCAAGGGAAAGAATGGGGATCGAATAGAAATCTCCTCCCTGTACATCAATCTGGACAAATCATCACAACCAACTGAAGCAAGGAACAACCATTGTCATGGGTGAACTACTTTTTACCCCAAGGTCAAGCCGAGCTTGTCGTAATTTGCCCAGTGTTGGTGTGTGTGTGATTCTGCATGGGTGCGTGTGAAAATAAAGGAATCTGCTTTTCGGTGTCCTCTTGCGCCTTTAAAAATACAGCCCTTAACATGGGCTACCCTTGAACAAACAAACCCCCATACTGTGGATGGACGGAATCCGCTTCTCGCACCACCGCTCAGAAACCCTATGATACACAACCATCCTCCGCAGGGGGGTGTTTGCCGCAAAGACAGTCAAGGACCTCCTCCAACGTGGGACGCCCCACTATCAATCAACCATGGGGGCGTTGCAGTGGGACATGCAGGTTTCCAGAAGGCCTAATAGGCAATTTGGTTGCAAGACCAGAAAGCAGATTCATGCAGCCGATGGGCGCTGCCATCCGCGGCCCAGGCCTTGGCAAATTCATGTTTTCTTACGAGCCAAGAGGTGGGTGTCGTCTTTTAGGGGACCAAAGGGTGATGGCGCGTGATGGTTTTCCTCTTCAGCATGGTACATCAACAACAAGTCATGTTGTTTTCTGTTAGACGGCCCCTTTCAGCCCTATGTGTGACAGAAACCCACCAAAAGAGGCATGGATTCGCCCACGAAATGGGTGGACTTTCAACAGTACGGGCTTGCAAAAAAAAAGCAGGTTCTGCGTTTTGAAGCCCCCAAACCTAAAATGAACAGGATCTTGAAAAACAAGCCAACCTTCCCCCTATAGGCCGAATCGGTGGTTTGGAGCCGAGAATCGGTGGTTTGCAGGTGTTCGAGCCGGGGGTTCGAATCCCGAGCCAGCAATCCAAACCACCACAAGGGTCACCTCCCCGAGCCAAATTTAGCGCCGCCTGCTTCGAGGGCCTGGTTTGAAATTCCAGCAACTCCATCTTGAGCGCCTCCTTTCGGGACACAACATAAGTACAGGCCAACTAAGTACCCAGCTAAACTCTTCGGAGCATTGCACGCCCCAACGTGGAAACAAAAAGAAGAAACAAATGAACAAAATGGAAAACATGGAAACGAAAGGATCTGGAAAACGGAAGGATCTGGAAAAAATGGAAACGGCACAAGATTTCCTCCCTTGAGCCGTTGGGCTTGCTAGCATTCACCTAAGGAGGCGTTGAACTCAACATCACTTCTTGGAAAAGCAAAATCAAGGTTACCCAGGGCCGTGTTTCTTGGAGGGAACCCTTTTTGGGGATGCTACGAAGGGAAAATTCAAAGGGAACAGGTCCCCCTATTTGACGAACCTCCCCCCAACCAAACAAAAAGGAAGTTGGTGTCCCCTCGGTTGCTTTTAAACCTGCTCCGAGATGGGGCATCCTCAAAAACGACACACCGGAATCGCCGCTCAGACGCGCAGAGGCCATTGGCAATAAGAGCATCCCTTGTCTTTAAAGGGGGGACCCTTCCCCAAAAAAGCCAAGGAAAACAGGGGTAAAAGAGCATCCCTTGTCTTTAAAGGGGGACCCTTCCCCTAAAAAAAGAAGCAAGGAAAAAGAAAGGTGCCCCCGCCACTGGGCCACTGGGTCCTTTCGGTGCACCCCCCCCTTTTGGGTTCCGCGTCACTTCACGACAGGCTTCGGCAGCGCTAGGGCCTCCGGCCCAGTCTGCCTTGCCCTTGCCAGCCTCGAGTGCGGACCAAGCAGGTGACTGGTGGATTTGCCAAGCGCGCCTCGCGCCATACATGTGGGTCACCATCAAAACCCGGTGTACAAATGGTCGACCCAGAACCAGGCAAAGCACCAAGAAGGCGGCCGCAGCAATGTATGGCAAGGGGATTGTCCCTTACTAACCTTCATCTGCTCGGGTTTTGATTGTGGCTCATGTGTCTTTTTGAGGTTTGCACTCTTGTCCAAACTGCCGGGCTAGTCGGGTCTTTGGATTGGCCTAATTGCTGGACACCCAGCAGTCCGCAAACTTCAGTTGCTTGGATTTGGAATAAGAGTGCATGCGAAACCACCGGAGCATGAGACAAACCTTCCCCAATGTTACCGCGCTGGAATGGACCGTCCCCTCCTTGAACCTCGCGTGATGTGACAATTCCATATATCATGGGTTTGTCTCATCCGGGGAAGCCTCAACATGAGTGGCTTTACTCGTGTTCTTTGAATCACCCTCAAGGAAGCCCAAATCGACTCACCTAAATCTCACTTGCCCAAAAGACCTGGAAATAAAAGGTTAACCTTTTAGGACCTTTACTAAAAATGGCTCCCAAAATGGGAAAACCAAAAGGTCAGATCAGGTCGATTCGCTTTGGGCCTTGGTGAGAAATGGACTTTGGGACTTGTCCTGGCCAGGCCATCTTTCCAAACTTGAGGCCACCTACGCCACATGGGCCACCAGGTTTCACCCAAAAATATCAGGCTGGATCCCCCTGATACGTCACAGGAGCAGGAAACCGCGGCCTCGGATCCGCAGGCTTTCCGCCGCCCCCCCCGCGCATGAACACCGCGAATCGTGTTTATAGCACCTTCCGAAGGTGGTCGAATTGTGCCCGGAAGTCTCTAAACAAACTCACTTAGGGTATATATGGATGGCCGGACGAAATCTGGAAATCGAACCACGAAAGGAAACCATGGTTGGAACCATAATGTTTCTCGGTATTTGCAGCGAAAATATCAGAAACCAGGGCTTCTTCGGTGGTGAGGAGTTCGTCCATAC